TCGCGATGCTTGTGATAAGGCAAAACACGCGAGATATCGAAGGATTTCGATAAGTCTAATGATAACTACTAATAACGATCGATCTAATGTTTGCTTCTACTCTTTCTCTTCTTCTTTTTTTTATTTTTATTTTTTTTTTTATATTTTATATATTTATCACGTCGTTATTAACATTAGCATTCTCTTCATCTTTCCTCCCTCTACTTAACAATTAACCAAAAAAAAAAAGAAAAAAATAACGAGACAAGCAACTTCGCATAATATTTAGCAAATAGCTTGTAAATCGTAAATCAGGACAAAATTAAGAATTTATATATATTCACAGTAACATGAGTCAAGAGATATTCAAATTTCTGCAAAAAATTTTCATTTAAATATCCTTAATCACTGAATTATAAACAAGCATTATTAAATTACAAAAAGCATATTTTCTGTCTTCTAAAGGAAATATTTTGTTTCCTTTAAATGATTAACTGCTAAAATACTTTCGAGAAATAAATAATGCGTAAATAAGACATTTCGCAAACTGACTGCGATTTTTTGCTTTAGATAATTTTTCAGTCATTTATAAAGTTTATAAAGTTTAATAGAATAATTTTTTTAAATAGAAAAATTATCATACAAAAAGGAAACAAGATAATTATGTCTGTAAAGATATATAATGTCTAAAATGGATAAAACCAGTCACACAAGTATATACGAAGATTATTTATTTACGCCTACAATTTCAAACACGAAGCGATTGAAGACAAGTACTCTTTAAAAAAAGTAAGAACGTTATTATTATTATTCGACGTAAGCACTCCTCATAAATAAGCCTCGCTTACCATATTAGATTACTTATCACTATCTTAAAAGCTATTTTTGTACATTACACGTTTGTACACAGGGCAATATGCTGCGAATTTGGTCTCTTAGAAAAATGCGCGTGAAATGCAATAGAAAGCAGTCTTCGACTTAGAGTTAAATACCAATATATGTACATATCGATGACATAAATAATGACGATAAACATATCTGAAAATTCACAAGATCAAAAAGTGAGCAAAAGTGAGCTAAACACATGTGAGCTGGTACACCATTTTTCGGCGCGGTCATCACTCTTTACTCACTTACATGATATAATCTTCCTTTTGATGTTCTGGCGATACTGATGCACTTATATTTAATTAAAAATCACTATAAACGCGATAGAATACGAATACTTTTTTTTCACTCGATATGTACATGAGTAAACGATGTTTCGTTAGCGTAGAAAAGTTTCTGAATTCCGTCGTGCGCAAACATCGAAAATATTTATGTAGAAAGACAGACTTCTTCGATGGTTGAAATTAAGTTGTCCAATCCGTACAAGAAACCCTCTTCGTGATTACCTTCTTCCCAAGGACGTCTGTGTGTGAGCTTCCGCCCATCCGGCACCTCTCGTGTCTTTGCGAAATCTATTAGCCAAACGCCCACCTTTTCGCTGTCGTAAATTATGAAAATACTACTGCCGATTACCTGAAAAATGACATAAAATTTGAATGAGTACACGTGTCGTTACAGCGAAATCGGCGAAAATTAGGGAACAACTGACGTCGCGCCGTACCTCGTGAGTTTCAAAATACTTTGATTTCTCAATCTTGGTTCGCAGGTTCCTGAGACGCGCGAGGATCTTTTGACGGGTGTCCTCGCGTCTGCCGAGGAATTGTCTTATGGTGTCGAGCACCTCCGAATGCGACTTGACCTTCTTGAGATCGGTGATCGGCGGTGCACCCGGCAGTTTCATCGCTTCGATGCGAAAACCGTGGCTGCAGGTCGAGCTCTGCTGCTCGCGGAACTGCATGTACCGTAATTTGGTCACGGCGCGTTGCTCGTGCTCCAGCTGGGTCGGCGCGTCCGGATCGACGGCTATCATCTTCTGATAGAGGTCCGGCCTAGCGGTGGTCTTGGACACCTCGGACTCGAGGAAGGTCCTGGTACCCATTTTGATGTCCATGACGTGCGGATCGTTGAAACCAAAGAGCAAATCCTGCAGCTCGATGAACGTATCGCCCTTGTACTCGACTTCCCGATAATATCTACAAATGGGAGACATGGTTGAGTCCCGCGAACCGATTCTACTATTTACTTACGTCGCCAAAAGACAAGAAAGATTTTCAAATAAACCTCGGTATGCAATCTCGCAGCGCTTCCTCCTTGCTCAGGGTCTCGTAAACAAGACGTTCCGTGTTCTCGGCGCCGCCTGTTTTCCTCTTCCAAACAGTACCGGGACCGGCGGGCGCAAAGCCATCCGGATGGCCTGACAATTGAAACCAGGACTTCAGTCGATTCTTTAAGAGCACGTCGCTGGCCGGTGCCGTCAGATCCAGAGCATTCTGCAACATCGCAATTGATTGAAATTTTATTTTTTTTTTTTAAAACGAGTGAAAGATTGGCATGTACTGGCGTGTGCAAATATACGCACCAGGGCGAGGAATTTCAGGGATAGATCCTCGTCCGGCATGGTCGCGTCGGACAGGACCAAGGGGAACTGTTCCATTTTCCGTAGGGTGGCTGGGTCATTGGGCAATTTGGTGAACGAGCTAGACGATCTGGAGCCAGCGCTGTTGGATCGGTTGCTGTGAGACCCGATCGAAGTACTCCGTCGCCATTGACGGAAGGCGCTGTAGGTGCTGCTGCTGCTGCTACCGCTGCTCCCACCGCCACTGGATCCATCTTTCTGCCGACGGTGGTCCTTGTTGCCCATCGAATCATGACTGTTCAGCCGTGTTTGCTCCTTGCTCGAGGGCTGCAACCAGAGAGGCCTACTAAGAATTTAATCCAACCGGGACAGTGCGTTACGCTATCGGGCGCGCTGCCTCGAAATTTCAGTCGTCCGGAACCGAGGAAAATCGATATTCAATCGGATCGGTTTCGCTCCCGACAAGTAAATAACTCTTCGGGCGATTCCCGATTTCATCTCGGGGACGATCCGAGAGTTATCTCGCTACTCCGAGAAAAACGGAAAAGAAAACCGACCACGCGTTCGCGCACGCGAAGGCTGCGTGTTGTTATTCGCGCTAAGTCGGCGTTACCGCGTTTTTCGACGTGAATATTCGATTTCGCGATACGGCGTTCATTTTAATCTCCGCGGCAAGGTCCGCGACACGTAATGCGACCGTGATTTCGACCTCGATCACCGGTCGTATTATCGGGCTCGCGCCTCATGTCCCGCGATCGCAACGAGTACGATCGATTACGACAGCGAATCAATCGGTTCTTAATTAGTTTGAGGAAGTTTGTGGGAGTTTGTCCGCGCTTGTGTACGGCACGCCGTAAGCGGATAAATGCCGTAGATAGATTTATTCTCATTATAAAATATGAGACAAAAAAAGAAAAAAGAACGGGCAAAAAAATTATCTGAGATCCAAGAACACGATACCCGCCTGATACAATCATGCGTGCCTCTCGCGAGGGGGGAAACAGAAAAAAAAAAGAGAACTCGAAGCGCGATCGTTCCATAAATACGAATCGTGTCTCATGCTCTCTACCTATTGACGTCAGTGACTTTTATTCAAGCACCATGCCGCCTATCGCCGCAGGGCCGATTCCAGCATGTCGCGTGAGCGCGATCGCTCCTGGGCAGGGGGCTGGGGACGAGGAGGGGGGGGAGGGAAGGGAGAGAGAAGAGAGTCGATCGAAACGTCGAGGCTTCTAACAACGGTACGATGCGAATGCGCGCCTGTCTATTTGTGCATCTGCTTAATTTAGACCGATCCGCAGATTCAACATTCTTTCTATCTGGTACCCAGCGACGAAAAAATTATTCCGAATTTATCTCAGTTTGTCGATTAATGTGCGGTGCAGCTTTGAATGACTTCGATCAAACTCTAATGGAGGATGTATTGCACCTATTTTTATAACTTTTATATTCATAATGAAAAAATTGGTTGAGAAACATACAGATTATTCTTTAAATTGCATTTAAAATAATACAAATAATACGAAAAAGTTTAGCGGTGTTTTAGAATCTGGAAAAAATTTATTTAAATAAATAAGTAGAAGTATCGAATTAAAAAATAATGATAAAAAGGTTTAAATTTTTTTATATAAATATTTTAAGTATTCAAGATGATTTGTGTAAAGTTTTGTTATTGCGATGCAGAGATTAATTATTCTGTAAGTGAAAATTTAATTTTATTTATGTCACCACTCGTTCCGTTGTGCTCTTAATGAAAATGTAATTTTTATTTACAAAATAATTAATCTCTGCATCGCAATGAAACTTTACATAAATCATCTTGAATATTCAAAGTACTTATATAAAAAAATTGAGATTTTCATCATGATTTCTTAATTATATTTCATTAAAGCACATTTCTACTTTATATTTAAATATATTTAAATCAAGTTCTAACCGCTGCAAAATTTTTTTGTATTATTTTTAAATGCGATCTAGAATAATCTATAAGTTTTTTATTATTTTTTCATTAAATAAAAATTGGTAATATATCCTTAACTTGTCGAGCAACGTTTGTACTGCTTCGTTAACACAGATAGAATTACTAACCTTTTGTTGTTTAGCATACAGAGCAGACATGATTGTATTGATTGGAATAACGAAATATATAGTTGGAAATTTTACTCTGATCAATTCTACTGATTAAATTACCGATTATTTAAAGTTTAGTCGAAGTCAACTTATGAAAAAAAGACAAAGTCACGATCACTCTTGGAAGGAATCGTATTGATTTGAGTAGACTCGTCGTCTAGTGTTTAATTGCTCCACAAGTTCGCAAACTTACAGACGCTTCTTAACAAAATAATAATAATAATAATAATAATAGAATGTTCACCTTCAAATATGTACATATTTCCGAGTGATATTTCCGGAAGTTTCGATAGCCGAATTCCTGAGATAAAAATGGAAAGATCATCCGATCCCTGACCGAAATGTTAATTTTCCGTGACACCAAACTCTCGTTAGTGATCCCATTAGAAAACTACATAAAATACGCTCTAGTGACCTCGTTAAACTCAAAGCTTATTCTTTCTATAATTGGCTTTCGATCGACGCGCTCACATCATTAATTTTTTACTTTATTTTCTAATTACATTCCTTTGTTGATTTCTCTTTATATATTTCTTGCAACGTGCATATTATAAACATGGGAATACTTTTATGCCTAATTTTATCAATCTTCTCTTTATCAATATCTTGTGATGATAAACACAAAATACGAAGCGATAAGAAATGCTATTTTAATCGTGCTATTTTATTTATGCGGATTCTTGTTGCGTGTAAGTCTGAAATACAGAAAGAACGATGCTGAAATATCTGATATTTGGATTAGATACAGATCTGAAAATAATTTTATTAGACTATCAAAATAATCATATAAGATATTTAAACACGATGATAATACTGCAAAAATTTTTTTATATTCTAACATTTAACATTTGGACGCTATATGTAATTACTTTAATGACGCAATAAAAGATGACTTTCAAGTCTGCATCAAAATTTTGAAATACTTCAATAAAAGTGTTCTTTCCGTGTATGCAATCTTATCGTATCATAGATTACTGTCGCAAACTAATATCACAAATTAATGACTTGCTCAATGACTCGACGACGACGAGTCGCCGTCGACGTCTCCGCGTTGCGAAAATTTTCAGCGACCGACGGTTTTTTCTCCGAAAAAAATGAGGAATTAATGAGATATTATACGCGTAAAATGGCGGAATAAAAAATTACTTGAGAAATATGTCTTTGGAAAAACACGGCGGACACGTGTAACTATGTGGCTGCGTTTCAGAAGAAAAAAAACTAAGCGTGAATGAATGTTAATTGTGCGTAACGGCATCGCCATACGCGCGCTAAGTAGCCTCCGTCCGTTAAGTCGGGCCGGACACGCGTTCAGCCTAAATCGCCCATTCATTCTTCTGCCGCGAATCGCTGTAATGGCTTTGTGTGTCGAAAATAGTCGAGTAAATACTGCCACCGAGCGTGGCGCGACACTTCTGCAAAAATTACACTGTCGCGTCGCGTCGCACCTCGCCTCGCCGACGGCGGAATCCTCCTCCGTCCGGAATCCGCCTGCGTGTTTATACCTGCGTGTTTATAGCGCGAGCGTCCGATATTCCCGTTATTGAATTGCCACGGCGAGAAACGTAAGCGACCCGACGTGCGTATCGCGCGCGCCCGGCTCGGTAACAAGTGTATCCGCGCTCAAAACTGTGTCACCGCGCGCCTCGAGCGATCTGTCGCAGCGGCGTAATCGCCTCGCCGCGAAATCGTGAATATCGCCGAGCCTGGGTTGCCTGCTCCAACCAGGTTGGGGCAACGTTTGACCTCCTCGCTGATCGGCGAGCATCCCTTCACCCGAGAGAAGACTACCCTCTCGATCCTCCGGCGGCGCGGCGGCTTCGCGGCATTATCATCGGGAAACGCACTCGCCGAACTGTACGGAATGATTCACCACACGTTTTCCTTTTCGTTCTCCATCCGCCGCCTCGAACGGTGTAACCGCGGCACGTGGACATAAATTAATACCACCGCTACGTATCATCAGCGACGACTGCACAGCCGGCAATGCGCGCGTGCGTCATTTAATAGGAAAACCTATCATTATTTTTCACGCGTATCCCCCGTATCAAGGCTCTTCATCGTGATTAATTAATCGTCGGTGATCCGCTTTTCGCGAGCCGACGACGTGGCGAGAGATTTATCCGGGACGAGGATATAGCCGAGCCGAGGTGGATTCTGAAAAGTGAGGCGAGCCGCGATGAAAGTTGGAAAGTTGGAAGGAACGAAGAAGACGTACGTCACTGCGTCGAGCGACCTCCTGTTGCGCCAGCTGTGTCGAGTTGTATTTCTCTTT